ATGAGCCATAATGTGGGCAGCCATATTCCCAGCTCTAGGAACGTAATTCCAACTTCCATTGCTGACTTCTCCCAACTTCCGACGAATGCTCCTGCATATTGTTCCTATTTCTGCCTGGATCTCATCTGCAACTTCGAGCTTTAGAGTAAGCGCAGGCAGTCTGTTTCCACCGTGAACTTTCTCCTTGTATGCCTTGAGCAAGCTCCAATTCCAGCTCCATAGCGAGTATGGGTGGCTATACGGTCCGATCCGGTTAAATTGGCCCAAATTGATCCGGTCCAGTCCAATTTTTTTGAAAATATAAGGACCAAAGATTGGATTGGATACAGTCCGGTTTTGATCCGGTCCGGTCTTGACCCGGTCCGGTCCCAATTCGGTTTTGATTTTATATTGAACTTGTGGGGATTTGAGTGGCCTAGGGCCTGAAAGGGTGAGGAGTTGGTTAAGTTTTATACTAAGTGCAAAGGTTTGTGACCGTTTATGCAAAGTACCCTTAAGTTTTGGGTGTTGAGCTCTCTTATTTGGTCTTTATCCAGTTTTCGATCCGGTCCCGAATGCTTTTTTTACCTCAAATCTAAGCCCAAAGATTGGATTGGATTGTTTACTATCCGGTCCCGGTCCGGTCTCGGTCCGGGTTATACGGTCCGGTTTCGGATAAAATAAAAAAACCCGGACCAAAAAGCCAGCCCTAATAGCGAGGGCTTTAGCTGTCTCCACACTGCATCTACATTTCACATTCTTTACAGCGGCCATAAGGAATTTACCTCCCTCTCCACGGGCCACAACCCTAAGGCCAAAGCCTTCTCCAGGGAAGAAGCCAACATCTGTGTTAATTTTGACCTCCCCACTTCCCTCCTGCCGCCATCGAACTGGATCTGTCCCCCTCGCTAACTGTTCCTTTCGAGTCTGGTGTGCTTTGTAGTAATGTTAGAAAGTAACTTGCCCGTGGCACGATCTCATGTTCACTGAGTTTTTTGCCGTTAAAAGTTGGGCGTTGCGTTCTTTCCACAAGAACCATAGCAATACACTCCACTTCTCCAAAACCTCCTCACCATACTTCTTGATCACCTCCTTAACCCAGTTATAGCAGCATCCACTCTCCGGATATTGGAAGCAGTCCTTCAGCTCAGAGCTACGCTACAATCTAGATGTCCATGGGCACTTCCCGAATAAATGGATTTGTGTTTCACGGGCATCACAAAACGTGCACTTATCTCCTCATCTCGTACTTTTAGTGCTCATCCGATCTCCTGTCGGCAACGCCTCCATTGCGAATCGCCATATAAAGTGTTTAACTTTCTAGGGGGCCTGCATTTTCCAAATCGCCTTCCATACCTCAGGTTCCCCGGCTGCCTCAACTGCTTCCCTAAGTTTAAACTCCTTCAGCCATTGATAGTAGCCATCTCGCACAGTATAGATACCCTTAGTGTTAGCCGCCCAAATCATCACATCTTGTTTGCCAATGCCACGCAATGGGATCTTCTCAATGTTGCTTACCACCTCCGACTCAAAACAAGCTTCCAACATATTCTTGTCCCATTGCTCGCTCACAGGGTTGATAAGCTCTCTCACTTTGGCATCCACCTCCAGTCCCATTGGAGCCGAGTTAATGTAGTACAGAATTTCCGTCAACCATCTCCAACGCGCCATCTGAGACCCTCGCTAAGTAGATCTTGTGCGTTGATCAGGCTTCTCCACAAGAAGCTTGGTTGATAGCCAGTCGTCGTCTCAAGAACCAAAGAGTTCTTGTAATACTTAGCCTGCATGATACGTGCTACTAGGGACGACGGTCGTTGATATAGTCGCCACAGCTGCTTTGCCAACAAAGCAGTGTTGAAACCATTTAAATCCCAGAATCCCATTCCTCCTTCCTCTTTTGCACATACCATTTCTTCTCGCCGCACCCAGTGGGCTCGACGCTCCGTACCCCGGTGCCCCCCAATAGAAGTTTATAATCATACTGTGGATCTCTTCAATGATTCCTACTGGGATTCTAAATACAGACATTGCATAGGTGAGTTGCGCTTGTGCTACTGATTTAATCAGTGTTTCCCGTCCTGCTACTGACAAGGTCTTTTCCTTCCAACCTTTTAGCTTTGTTCGAACTCTTTCTTTCAAACCATTAAACACTTCCTTCATGGAACATCCCACGACAGTAGGGAGGCCTAGATACTTATCGTGCTTTTCAACACTGTTCATCCCCAAGATCCCACTAATAGTTAGCTTATGGTGCGGTTTTACCTTCTCACTGAAAGAGACTTCAGATTTCTGAAAGTTCACCATCTGTCCCTACTCCTTTTCATAGTGACTTAAGGACATTTTTTAGTGCCATGATCTCCTGCTTAGTAGCCTTGCAAAAGAATACACTATCGTCAGCAAAGAAGAGGTGGGTGACTGCCAAAGCTCCTCTTGCTGGTTCCAGTCCTCGTATCTTCTTCCCTTTTGCGGCCTACTTTGTAGCCACTGAAAGCCCCTCCGCACAAAGCATGAAAAGATAGGGTGAAAGCGGGTCGCCTAGTCGAATCCCTCGTGAGGGCACAAATCTCTCAGTCTAATGGCCATTAATCAAAACTGAGTAAGACACCAATCTGACGCACATCATAATAAGTCCAACCCACCGGCTATCAAATCCCATCTTAAGCATCATTGACTAGAGGAAGTGCCATTCCACTCTGTTGTATGCTTTTGCCATATCGACTTTGGCCGCTAGGTAGCCTACCCGACCCTTCTTCCTCTTCTTCACGCTGTGGAAGCACTCGAAGGCAGCCATGATGTTGTCAGTAATAACTCGCCCAGGCACAAACGCGCTCTGCTCTTCTGAAATAACCTGATCCAACAGAATCTTTAACCTGTTTGCTAATACTTTTGCCACCAACTTGTATAGAACATTACATAGACTGATGGGTCTAAAATCCTTTGGCGACACTGGACTTTTAATTTTTGGGATGAGCGCTATAAGCGTGTGATTAAGATCCGGCACCATCTCACCCCTCTCCAAGATCCCCAAAACCAGATTTACCACATCATCTCCTACTATCCTCCAGTTCTTTCGGTAGAATAATACCGAGAAACCATCAGCCCGGGGAGCTTTGCGTTGGACCATTTGCTTCAACACCGACACTACTTCTTGTCGAGTGAAAGGTTGGAGGAGCTGAGCGTTCTGATCGGCTGAAATTGATGCATGGACTGCATCAATGATTGGAGTTTCGTTCGGCCTTTCACCAGCTTGAAATAGCGCCCTTTATAGTAGCTTAGCAAACACGCGTCAATCTCATCTGGTTTATAAACCACCCTGCCTGTCTCGTCCATCAGCTTACGAATTGTGTTCCGTCGCCGTCTGGCCGTTGCCTTTCTATGGAAGTAAGGCGTATTTTTATCTCCATCCCGAAGCCAGTCTGCACGTGAACGCTGCTTCCAATAATCCTCTTCCTGATCCTCGATTTCCTCCATCTTCTGTTCAAGTTGCTTAACCTGGTCCATGGTGGCTGCAGAACGTTGGATTCTTTCAAGGGCACACAATGCCTTTTGGATGCGCTGCTTTTGTTTTGAGAACTTGGGGAAAGTAGCATGGCTCCATTCAATTAATTTTTCCTTACATAATTGCAGCTTAGCCATTGTATCATGTTATCCCACTACGTTCCACGATTCTTCTATGGTCCTTTCACAATCTGAATGCTTTGTCCAGAAAGGGTCGAACCTAAAGCTCCATCCCCATCTTGGTTCCACATCATCTTTACCCTGGGTATCACACACAATGGGCCGATGATCGGATCTTGTCTTGTCCATGTGTATAACTCTCCCTTGATCGAACTTCCTCGACCAGCTTGAGGAGGCTAGGAACCGATCAAAGCGTTCTTCAATAAAACCCACCATCGATCGTTTGTTCTCCCAGGTGTAGTCGTAACCCACGTAGTCCAAATCATAGAGTTCAGCTTCCATCATACCGTCACTGAATTCCAGCATCTCACTCTCCGACGGGGACCGCCCTCCACGTTTCTCATCAGTAGTACGAACCTGGTTGAAGTCACCAGCATAGAGCCACATTCCCTCCACTGATTTGCGAGCCGTCGGACAAGATCCCACGTCTGCCACTTCTCCCCACTCTCCGACCAGCCATAGATACCCGAGAAACGCCACACCTCCTCATCTTCTTCAATAATTTGCATATCAAAATGATTAAAAGAAGCATACATCACCTTTGCATTAACTTTCTCTGTCCACCAAACACAAAGCCCTCCTGCTCGCCCCCCGCCATCTCCTCTCATCGGCCAGCTATCGCCGTGAGCAAATTCCATATCCTTTCTAGTAATCTCATTTTCCTCCTTCTTCTGTTTAGTCTCCATAAAGAAGACCAGTTGTGGGGAAATCCATCGCAATAGCGACTTCAAAGCTCTAACTGCCCGCTTATTCCCCAATCCGCGGCAGTTATAGCTGAGAAGCCTCATTTATGACCAGGAGCGGATAGGTTCCCCGCCCCTTTCGTTTTACTCATATTATCCAGAACAATTTTGTGACTCTTCGTACTTGTTTCCTTCCCTTTGCTCACAAACTGTACGTCCACCTTTTGCTTGTTTGGCCCTGATATTGCAGCCGTTTGTGACCCCATTCCCTGTGCTTGATGTTCCTTTTCTGAGGCCTAAGGTATAATGGTTGTAACAATGCAGCCATCCTTCCGTACCTTCTGTACTGACGTCTCATCCTTACCCAACTTTTGTTTACTTCCTCCCTGGCCTTCCACTTCTTTTTTATTACGTTCACCTACTCCGTCTTATGGCAACTCCCCAAGGGCATTCTTCACCACAACCTTCCCTCGTACCCGCTACGGGTTAACCACAATAGCAATTCCCTCAGTTGGTATTCCTCATGCATGAATTGCATGGCCATCCCTTCCCTCCTCATGTAACACATCAAAACGATTCTGAACCTTAGGTCGGATGGGTGCCACAGCACTCTCGTCTTTCCTCGTTGGTTTCCGTTCCCTTCTCTTAATTGTCAACCATTCACCATTCACCATACACCCTCCCTTTTGTGGGGTCAACATCTTGCGTTTCAGGCACAATGGACACATCTTCCTCTTTCTCTTCACCCACTTTTTTGGTGCACTTGCATATATGTCCCGTTTGGTTGTACAAACCACATTCACCACATATGTTTTCCAATCCTTCATATTGGATGAGATAGGTTATACCCTCTACCTTATGCTGGGACAACAATGGTTTCGTTAGGTCAACTTCTACGCATGCCCGTGCAAATTTTGCGCGAGCTCCAGCCTCGGTCGCCCTATCCACTCTCACCGGCCTTCCAATAAGCTTCGCAATTATCATAACCACTTCAGCATTGATGAACTCCACAGGAAGCTCTGGGAGTTGCACCCAAACAAGTGTTGACTTAATTTCTGACGTCCATGGGTTGAATCCCTTGAACCAACGGTGAACCATTAGGTATGTATCCCCCAGTAGCCATGGACCTCCGAATGCAGCCAGTTCATAATCAAGTTTGCTCTTAAATCTAACAAGAAAACATCCATTCTTCATATAGAGATTTGGATGGTTCCATGCTTTGCCCATAAGAAATTCAGTCTTCGCGTCAACGGAAGATACGACACCCTTCTCCCCAATCCCTTAACAACTAGGGTAGACCGCCATTCCTTACTCCATCGAATCTTTTGGGTAGAAGTGAACAGCGCCGAGGGGCACCTTGGGTCCTGTTCTTCCTCCGGGATACAGTCATCTTCTTCCTTTTCATAGTTCGCAACATCCTCGGAATCCGACTCTGCTACATACCAACCATCCTCCACATAGATGGCAGGGAAGGATGTTGGTAACTAGCTCTTCCATTTCGTTGCTCAGGCTTCGTTTCCATCTCCTTATCCATCGTCTCCAGACCTACATCCTCCTGGTCAAGGTTCAGCCCATGCACACGTTTCTTATCTTGCTTTGTCTCCTTTTCACTCTTCCTATCTGGCGAAGATGATACTGTGGCAGGTCTCCTCATTCCGCTAAGTTCAGGAGGTTTCTCCGGCAGTCCAGTGCTAGTCGGCGGCGTTGCCACCATAGAGATCGATGAAACCCTAGAAAAATCGCCAAGTTTTCCTTTCCGAAAAATTCACTGTCAAGAATATATGGATCCCAATAACAAATACTTTAAACATAATAGAAGTATTTTGATTAATCAACAGATAGGGTAATGATGTATTAGCTATTCACATTTCATAGACCCAATGAAAGGACCAATACTTAGTACCATAGGCGGAGGCAGGCTACTTTGGATGTGTCCTAGGACACAGGTGAAATTTGGGGTAGAGAAATAATACTCATATGTGTATCAAGTTAGAGGTGGAAATTGGTATGGTATTTGGTATCGGAATACCAATACCGAAATCTTAAATACCAAATTACATCCTAAAATTAATGTCAATCTCAATCCCTAAATAATTTCGATATCTCAATCCCTAAATATTTTGGTATCACAATCGATATTATCGAATACAAAACTAATTACCTTTGCAGTCAATAATTAAATATATAAATTTAATTTAATTGTTTAATTTAGGGCAAAGAGACTAAGCAACGAGTATTGAGTTTGCCTAGAGCTAGGATATGAATTAGGAGAATGGAGGAGAGGTGACATCTCAAATTATTGTCATTGGTAATCTTTAATATGACGTATTGGAGGCTGAGAGACGCTAATACTAGTGTTTATTTTTTGGAGTTATGAAAATAACAAGAGATTAGGTGAGAGACGAGAGTGACTTAGACTGTAAAGTCAAAATTGTGTTGGATGGGGGCTTCTAAGTTGTGAAAGAGTGAGGAATGACCTAAGGTTGTGTGTTATATTTCATTAATTTTTTACTTTCAGTATTTTGGTATATACCGACCCCGATCTCGTAATCCCGAATACCGAACAACACTTGAAAATGAATCCCAATCCCAATTCCTAAAAAATAAGCCGGTATTCGATAATACCTAATAGTGATAAATTCGGTACGGTATACAATATATCTCAAATACCGGTACCGAACTTCGAGCCATATATCAAGTATTGAATCCTTGACTTTTTGGATAATGAATAAGTATCATATCACTACACTAAATATTATTTCTTGTTTATTTTCAATTTTATTTATTAATTTTATAAGAAGAGGACACAGGTATGTTTGAATCCTGACTTCCCCACTTTTTAATACTACACTAATTTTATTTTGATCAGTTGTTTGATTGCTACTGTAATGTTGTGAGTGAGTGAGTGGCAGCTTGCCAACATTGTATTTTGAAATGAAGTCCGCAGGTAGCAACTCCTAGGGTTATTGCAACTTGTTAATTAATTAACCACAAAATAAATTCAAGGAAATCACCATTAATCTTAATTTGTAACATAACTTTTTGTGAACAACAAATATTAAATAATCAACGATTCAACGTATAATATAATAATTTAATTGGATTCACTACATTGATATTTCGAGCCTCAAGTTTCTAGCAAGCTAAAAGGAGAAACTCTAGTATACAAATTTGCAATTTCCGACCTACAATAGTAGCTAAACAAAAATGTGGTGTTAATTTGACTGTGAATACATCTGTTCCTTCAAAAAATATATATATATATCAGTGCTGATGCCCTCTGCTTTAGCTTGAAGTAGCAAAAATGAAAGCCTCTTCACTGCATGGAATGGTCAAGCCACCCATAATTGGATGATCAAACCCGAACTCCTCTTCAGCCATGCTCAACAAACCTTGAAATGAAGGTTGGTTCAGATACGAAATCGGAACTACAAACCGCTTCTTGTTATCCGTCGTCTCTCCTACATAAACTGCTAGGTAACCCTTTGGCACATCTGAACAACTTGAAGACGATGACGATGATCTGCTTGACCCGAAACTGGACCTTCGACGAATTTTCTTGGCAAGGTTGGTTGGCAAGCTAATAGCCATGGTGGATCCTCTTTGGTTGGATGAAGAAAAGAGTAGCTGATGAAAATGAGAGGAAAGTAGACAAAGTGGGAGGCTTGTTTTCTGTGTTGGTTTGTGATGATGAACTAACTATAAGCTCATTTGAAGGGTTTATATATAGATAGGCAAAGGGTCCATGGATTTTCGGCCACAACTTAATTGGAAACAATCGGCCCCCAATTGGCCTTGTACGTTACTGCATGGGACATAGTTCATTAAGCACCACATGGTCGTGCCTTCAAATGACGGGACCAATATTGTAGGGAGGAAGAGGACACACTAATTAAGTTCACGTACCCTACAATTGAAGGGCTAGCTAGCTCGCTATGCCAATGGCTGGCCACATAATTGATATTGGAATATGGATATATAGGTTAAGCAGCACATGGTCGTGCCCTTCAACTGTCCTATTTTGTGTAAGGAACATGGTTTGAGTTGAGGCAACCAACCCCCTAGTTTATGGGGTTGTAGTGTTGTACTCATCCGTGTTTCCACTAGAAAAGAGTGCAAGGCTGGCAGAGAATGAACTGAGAGTGAGAGCAGCGGCTGCGGCGGTGCATGCATGGTAGAACTAGGTTCTTTGGCTGTGACCAATTCAGAAATTTGAATGAAACGAGAGTGATTAGAATTGTGATAATAGTGGAGGGGTTAAGAAATTACTAATTACTTTATTTTTTAAATTTGTTGCAAATTTTATATGTAATATTATCCATATTTCAAATTTGAGACTTGAGAGGGAGGTATAACCTCGATCTCCACGCTTAACCTAGCTCCGCCACTGTTTACTGGTATCCATCATATATAACAGAGATTCTTGCTTGTAAGCGAATAATGATTTTATCTACTGATACTATAAGTGGTCTGTTCCAAATTCAAATGACTTAACTATTTATTACCTATATCACCTAAAAAAGATATTTATGCTTCTTAAGCAATTAGAATAAGTGGTACTGTAGTTAACAAAGTAAGACGTGTTCATTGTACTTTATAAGTGCACAAATTGTATCAAATAATAAACTAATAAGCAGTGGCGTATTAATTTTATTATAACATATATTGTTAACATAAATGGCTTTATAACCTTAACATTAGATATATATATACGTGGTGTATTAATCCTCCAATTACTATATGGAGGTTCCTCTCCCGAACCCCGTCAATCCCTACTTTCCTAGCTCCTGAGGAAAAGACGGAGGGGCCTTTAGGTAAAAAAGAATCTTCAATGCCTTCTCCCGTCCAAGCTAGCGCAGAAATCGCCAAAGTTCCCTTTCTTTCGTGCAAGCATGTAAATTAATATTTCTTTGGATCATTAAGTTTTCACATAAACCTAATTGTTAATTTGTTAGAAGCTGGGTTATATGAATTTAATAATACGAACTGAACAATGACAATTTGACGAATAATTCTATGGGGTTGGTTGTGATGTTATTTAGATCAGGGAGCGAAAACAGTAAGGTCAGATGATAATTCTTACTAATTTTAATTATCCAATTCAACTGAATTGAGTACGAAACAAATGTCTATATTTTTACGGCCTTAACACATATAGTCATATATCCTTTTGTTTGGGTTGGTTCGAATTTTTAAACTATGAATTGGGAGATGTATCCATACCCATATAAAAAATTACATTTTGTAACTATAGTATATTTGAAGATTTAGTACGTTTTTTGCATAGAATTCTTAAAAGTCAATGAAAGTTTTTACCTACAAGTATATTGCCTTATATTTTGATACATTAAACATTTTCAGTTTTACAAGTCATCCAAATTTGGTATGCGTAGTTAAAACAACCTCATATAAATAGGTAAATTCATACCCAAGTACAATAATTGTTTGACTTATTTTAAATGGAAGGTTAGTCAATACGCAATTCTAACTTATATCGGATCTGACAACTCAAAAGAGGAATTGGATTATTCAATATTGAGTTTCAAAAAGTGGCTGGCAATCAATCCGAACACAAATACTATTCTTAGTCTCTCGATATGATAGTCATTGACTCAAAGGTAAACTAACTAGAACCACACATATTCAAACTCTATGATTAAAGTTTCACAATTTTATAAATATGCTTATTTAATTTCTTAAAGGTAATGATATTTTGATGCAAATACCCAAAGGACAAGTTAAGGACTTTCAGTCCCTGTTTCACGACCAGAGAGAGAATACACCACCAGGAACTTCAAGGTCAGTGTGACAACAGGAGATTATAGGCCAATTACAAACAAATTGGTCATAAAGTTTGAATAGAAAACAGAGGCCGAAGCATGAGACGATATTCCAGCCATACCAACTTACAATTTCATTTCATCAACCAAGATCAAATTGAAAAGAAGCGCAACTAAAGAAAAGTTTTTTTTTCCCAGATTCATATACCATTTCCACGTTAAATTTACTTTAATCAGATGCGTATACAACCAAGACATTCACTTTTCAATGTTTCATTCCACAAATGTTGTTGGCCGGGTTATTTGTATTTAGATTTAATGACGTATACTAGAATCATTTGGAAAGTTTCTCGCCAAGAGCTCCAACTAAAACTTCATAAGTCTGTAATTCTTTTAGGTTTGAGTTCAAAATAGCATGCATTACTTTAACTCATAGTTGTCAAACCGGTGGTATGCCGGCCGGTTGAACCAGGTCCAACCGGTGCCGGTCATGAAACCGGCTGGAATACCACCGGTATTTTGTTGTGGTCAACGCTGGTCAATACCGGTCAACACCGATCAAAACCGGGAATTCTGACGGTTCAACCGGAATGTTAAGTGTCGGCATCTGAATTCTGGAGACATACTCCATCGTCCTCCGCAAAATCCTCAACTGCCCCGCCTCCTACCTCTGGGTTCGAACGGCTGTGGAGGAAGCATATTTTCCCTTCTATGTTTATCTCATCGGAGAGGACAAGGAATAGACAGAGAGCAAATCAATTGAGAGGAGAGAGGAAGGATATTTCCCCTTTTGAGTCTATGTTTGGACGACGGCTGAGGAAAAGGAATGAGAAGGATAGGGGAGAGGAACGGCTAGGGTTGGAGAAAGGCTACTGGGGGATTTTGGGAGAAGGGTAGTACGTACACGAGACAAAAATCTCTCCCTTTTTTGGTT